ACAGAGTGATTCAAAGCCATGAGTCAAGTGCAGCCAGAGAGGGGCTCCTCCACTGCAGACCGTCCTGGAGTCAATGCTCTCATTGGTTGGCCTGAGATCAGTTCTCCAGGGGTGCTATCTCTCATATCTCTCTCCCTTCCAGACTGAGAAAATACTCCAATGTCCTCAGCAACTTGATGGCTAGTGGTCAAGTACAAGGTGGCCAACAGTGCTATCTATGCTAGTAGCAGCCAAGAGCTTGGGCTTGAGGTCAAGTCCTGGCTTTGTCTCTTGCAAGTTATGTGACCTGGAACAAGTGACTGCACCTCTCTGAGCTTTGGTTTGCTTATTAGGAAAACGGGGTGCTATGAGGAGCAAATGAATTCATCAATGTCAAGACCTTTGCATGGGGCCGGGCCCACATGGAGTGCTCAGTACATGTTGACCCGCATCATGATCATAAAACACAGGCTTGTCACAGAAGACCTCCTCCCCCCAGTTAAGCTCATTCTCTAGGGTGGAAATTGACTTCTGTGCCTCCAACCACATTCTCTTGCTTGGTTTCTCTTTAACTGTAGATGCCCACAGAGAGACTTCTAGGTAGAAGCAAGACAGCACCCTGTGGCCAGTGCTGTGTGACTCTGGGCAAACTGCTCCACCTCTCTGAGTTTCAGTTTTCTTGTCAATAAGGGGGCCCAAACCACACAGCCCACTTAGGAAGCGGAATTCACCCCAGCTCTGAAGACCTGGCTGTTGGGAAGGTACTCTGTAAGTACCCGAGTACCCTGTAGGTGGAGGGGAAGTGATCACAGTGCAGGGCGAGGCTGACTGGCTGGTCCAGATGGATGCTGGACCAGGGACGTTGGCCTCTTTAGAACCCTCCTTCAGGGCAGCAAGCTGAACAACCTGGATATCCTCTGACACGCAGCATTTTAAAGTGACCGCTCCCAAGGGCAGAAGCTCCCAGAAGCCCCCAGATTTCCCTTCCTTACACACCCCACATGCTGCCACCACCCGCCAGGTCCACCTTCCCCCTGGGATCCAGGGTGAGGCTGTGTCTAGACTAACCATCATGTCTCCCCCCAGCGAAGGGCCAGCATCCCCAAACAACAGGACCAGGGATGCCCCGAGAGGGAAAGGAACTAGATGAAGCAGAATAGGTCTGTGTCCAAGAGGAAAGAGGGAAGAAAGGAAATGAGGCCAAGAGAACAGGAAAGTCAAGGGCACTGCTGCTGAAAACCAGGGATGGCCCCAGCCTCTGCTTGGCCCCCCAGAAGCCACACACTGCTGCCTGTGACCAGGATGTGGGGCCCCAGGTCTGGTGGGCGGGCAGCCTCACTGTCACCTGGCCATCCAGAAGCCAGCTCTGACCCCCACCCCAAAAATGACATCCTGTAGTGCCCGGGACAAACCCACACTAGGAAGAAGGGGCCTGGCTGCCACGCAACTTTTGGACATCCACCTAGATCCAACGTAAGCTGAGATTCCTGAGCCAAGATCCCAATTTGGTCTTACATATAAACGTGGCTTTAAAATACACTGAATTTTCCGTTCTTGCAACCACTGGGTAAAGACAGGACATCGTTTTACTGGGAGTCCGGTCACCACTGTGGAAAATCACATCATCACATCAGTAAGGCGACACTGCTGGTGGTGTCTGAGCTGCCAAAACAACATGCTTGTGTCAAATCTGCATTTGACACTTGTATGCGGGCTAATTCTACCTGCAGGGGCGGATATCTGAGCACTGATATGTTACATTATAGCTTCTGTTACTATAAGTTACTTTTTTCTTTTAAAGATTTACTTATTTGAGAGAGAGAGAGAGAGAGCACACAGGGGGTTGGGGCAGAGGGAGAGGGAGAGAGAAACCCAAGCAGACTTCCCGCTGATCATGGAGCCTGATGCGGGACTCGATCCCACGACCGTGAGATCATGACCTGAGCCGAAACCAAGAGTCGGACGCCCAAGTGACTATGCCACCCAGGCGTACCTACTGTAAATTACTTTTATGCTTGGTCTCCTTTATTTTATAGTTAGGGCATTATATTTATTAACAAATGTAAAGCGTGAGTAGGTTATATGATCCATGAATTAGCTCCTGGTTAGTAAAGGGGGCATTTAAAAATATTTGTTAAAGTGGCGGAGGGTGGGGCGGGTTCTGGGTCCAGCACAGATGTGAGTGATCGAGCCAGGGGCATACGCACTAGTATTGAATACTCATCCTTAGAACTGTTTCCCTCAGCAGGGGTCATGGAGCCCTGGACTTGCCCTGAGTCACTTTCTTCCAAACGGCACCTCCTCCAAAGCAGTGTTTTCTGCTCCTTTTGGTCACTGGAGGGGAGGTTGTGATGGATGAGGGCAGGTTGAGAGCTCAGGTGCAGCCTCCCAATTTGGGAAAATAGGTATGCCGGAGGAGATCCCATGTCAGACCAGCATGCCATCCCCCCTCCTCGGGGAAATGAAGGCTGCTTTTCTGAGTTGGTGTTTGGAGAGGCCCCTCAGGCCTGGTGGATAAGGGGGCTGCTGTTCAAGTCCTTCATATTTCATGACCTCCCCCAAGCCTAGTGTCCTGCGCTGGGCTTGTGTGTCCTGCCCTGTCAGTTGGGAGAGGGTCATCCTGGCTTCTGGGAGGGAGAGGGACCTGCTGGGGACTTTTCCATATCACACAGGGAGATTCAGGCTCCTGGGTCTGGGGTAGGGCTGAAATAAAGCCCCAGGGAATTCCAACGCTCCTGACCCCATGCCCGCCCCACGCCCAGCTGAGAATCAGAACCAAGTGTATGGAACACTAGATCCAGCCCCTAGCAGGGAATGCCACTCTTACTTAGGGTCCTGCGACAATTCCTGGGAGAAGGGCTGTTGAGGAAGGGGTTATGCCCAGGAATCTTTGAAGGAAGGCACTTCTGGTGTCTCCTGGAAAACCAGACCAGTGATTCAATCCGGACTCGACAACTGCTTTAGGATTTAAAGCCACTGAATGAGACTTGGAGGTTGTTGGCTTCCCAGAAGCTACATCAAGACTGTCATCTCTACGGTGTGCGCTGCTGTAGGGAGCCCTGGGAGGTGGCGGCCCCCCGAGGACTGGGTTCTTGCCTGGAGTGGGGGTCTCCATGCTAGTTGTGGGTGAACTGTGCCCCAAATCTCCGCAAGCCGGGACAGCCCCGAGGACCCATCCTGGCCTCTAGCTCCAGAAAGGAAGGTCAGGATGATAGGGGCTCCCAGCCACTTGCCCCACCAAGAGGGTCACACCATGTCCTGGGTAATGGGGCCAAAATTCTCTGTCTCCTGCAGAGATGGGACCAAAAGCATGGGGGACACTCCAAGCTGCCCCCAGGAATGTGCAGAAGACAGAAGGGAGCGGGTTGGAGGACAGGAGCTCAATGGGGAGCAGGGGACCTCTTGGGGGCTTCTGACACAGGCTCATCTTCCCTCTTGGGGTCTTGCTGGAATTGGCTTTGTTTTTGCCCAGGTGTGAAAAGTTAGAAAAGCTCCAGGAAGCAATGGTGGGCGGAGGTGGGGTGCCACAGACTGAGCTCCCCCCCTCAAAGGGCAGTTTGGGGGCTGACTCATCAGGAAAGAAGACTGGAACCCATGCAGTTCCTCCACCACATCAGGCACCCTCCTACCTCAGGACCTTGGCACCTGCCATTCCCTCTGCCTGGAATGTCCCTCCTCCATAAAGCTTTGAGGCGCCCTTCTTCCTCTTCCTCCGGGTCTTCCAATGTCACCTTCCTTGAGACCTGTCCAGCCTCTCTCTCTAAAATTCACCCTCCCCAATACTCCCTGACCCTTTCCCTGTTCCATTCATCTCCTTAGCACCTATCACTGACGGCCTACGTATTTTAACATCTTTATCTCATTTATTCTCCATCTTCTCCACTACACCATAAGCTCCCCAAGGTCAAGGGGCTTGTCTATTTCATTCACTCACAAGGTCAGAGGGTTGGTCTGTTCCATTCATTGCTTCATCCCTGGTGCCCAGAGCAGTGTCTGGCCACAGTAGGTCTTCAATGAACATTTGTTAAGTGCATCAGTGCAGGGGCTTGGAGAGGAGCTTTAACCCAGGTCCCTGAGGGGTATCACGGGGACCTCTAAAGGCTCTCCAGACACTCAGGGGTCCTTGGGGAGGCGGTTGGGAAATCTTGGCCCGGGTTTCTGGGTGGCCCCACACCTGAGCCTCCTCTGTAGTGGGGGGTGGATAAGACGTAGGGGCTGTAGGGTTAGTGCAATTCTAAGATGAGAGCAGAAGGGGGCAGAGAGAAACTTCCCTCCCTCTCATATCTCTGGACCCACTGTTCTCTGACCCCCTAGCCCAGCTGCCAATTCCTCCCCCAAAGAAGGAGTTAGAATCACCCACTGTGTCGCCTGCTCTTTTCCTCTCCAGAATCAGAAAATGCCAATCTGGCAAATGCAGAGGGGCCGGGACCCAGGTCTTCATGTTCTAGCTTTAGCTCCTATATAATATGAGCAAGACCACTGTTTTGGGGGAGCTGGGGCCAGTTCTCTACTTTGATTCCAGTCCCTTCCTTCAGAACCTCCCTTGCTCCCAAGCGGCTGTCACAGGGCGACAGCTGGTTTAGGCTGAGGGTTACCCAGGCCTCAGCTCATCCCCACTCTCTTCCCAGGACCTTGGCATTCACCCTATGCCAAGGCTACCATGGACACGCGCCTCTCGCTTACTGGATGACTTGGGAGAGCCCCCTTCCCTCTGAGCCTCAGTCTTCTGCCCCGTGAATTGTAGATCCCAAAAGTACCCACCTTGAGGGGTTGCTGGAAGACATGACATCAGCTACCATGACTCTTAGCTCTGGGTCTCATGGCTAGAGATACAGGCTAGAAGTTATGCCCATTCCGTTCTTACAATTGCAGGTTTAAGGGAAGGAGGCAAGAGTGGTCAAGTGGATGTGACTGTGTGTGTCTGGAACAGCTCAGGGTGTCTCCTGGGTCTGATAGAGAACTGCAGAACATGTCTGCACATAGCACATATATGCACGCACGCACGCATCTGTAGAACTTACCTGTCTACCTGGACTTCCGCATCCTTTGTCTCTGCCTTGGAAGGTCCCCCTCCATTGATCCCTTTGCTCCCACTGGTGAGAAGGCTCAGCACAGGCTCTATCTCTTTGAGCAGTTCACTGTTCTGGCTGTCCTGGAGAGCCACCCCAGTGCTTTTCTTGGTAGGGTCCTGGCCGAGGGGTCTGCGAGCCAGGCTGTTGGTATTTGAGAGTGAGCTGGCTCCCTGCCCACTGTCTTGGGCATGCTGGGGCCCATTGCCAGGCCCTGGGGCCCCATCCACTGGCGGTGTGTGCTCTTTGCTGGCCGATGACTGGTGAGACAGATCGACAGCTGTGGTGGGGGGACCCAGGGGCCGTGTCACCCGGATGGTCTTGGGGGTCCCATCCCCAGTGAAGGTGGTCTCCAGGTGAGTGGTGAAGCCCTCTGGGCCCCTCAGAATGAGGACCACGTGGGTCTCAGAGGCAATGCCCCTGAGCACCTCCAGGGCACTGTCATAGCTCAGGTCCACCAAGGGCTGGCCGTTGACCGCGAGGATGATGTCGCCGGCCTGGATGAGGCCGCTCTGCTCCGCGGCACCCCCTCGGATCAGGTCGGAGATGATCACGGGTGGCTTGCTCACCCGCTCCTTCACCAGGAAGCCCAGGCCCCCAACCTTGCGCTTGAAGAGGCGGACAGAAATGACGTTGGGTTGGATCTGCTGAACACTGAACACCTGATTCTCCATGGTGTCTAGTGTCCAGGGGTCCGAAGACTTAAAATATGTCAGGCCAAGCTGATTTCACCAGGAGGAGCCAGGCTTCACGCCGAGCTGAGAGGAAGAGCTGGGGGCTGGGGCCTCGGGCAGTCTCAAGAATGAGCTGCTCTTGGGTTCGTCTTCTCCGTCTTTGACGTCAACTCGGCGTCACCCACTCACTGCCATCCGGCCATTGGTGGCATGATTTCACGCGTCTGCCTTCCTCCTTGTTCTCTCTAGGAAGTGATGGTCGATCAGGCAGACGTCAGGAGAAGCCGTGGGACGTGTCCCTAAGCAACAGGTCAGGCCGACTGGGGAGGAGAAGTGTCTGGTGGATGTGTCTAGATGTGTCTCGAGATGATGCAAGCTCCTGTGCACTATTCTCTGGGCATCACCAGCTCATCAGACCTGTGCTGGAGAGAAGGAACAAGGGAGGGGGTGAAGTTCCAAAAGAGAGATTGATGTGGATTGCCCAATGCCACCTTCCAAAGCAAGGTGGGAAATGCAGCCAACTGAGAAGTCTAGCCACAAGACCCTGGATTTTGGAAGCCAACCTTGAAATGAAATCCTTCCTCCTTGAGGGGAGGGGGTACCTACCCCATTAGCTGCAAATTGCCTGGTTTCATCTCCCATGATCAAAGACCCCCGAGACCAAAGGTCTCCCTGGGGAAACCACCCGATAGCCTAGAAATCAAATGGCAAGAAGCACAATCTCATCTCTTATCTCTCCCATCTTGAGAAGCCACCGTTTCAACTTGTCACGCGGCCTTTGGCTCTCTGTGTCTTACAAACGTTTTCCATTCACATGTCAGGAGCTCAGCCAGCACAGATCTTTGGGCTCTCTGTCCTGGCCACTCCCAGAGTCCCCACAACAGACTCACTGGAAGGGGAATGCCTCCAAGGGTGTCAATTGCCCTTTCTGACCATTTTTGTAACTATCGACTAGTTCCAGGCCCCAAAGGACTGATTTGGCCACATTACAAACCATTATAAAGCCAATGTGGTGCATTAAATATCAAAGACATGGGTCCACACAAAACTTTAGAGAACATCTGTACTCCATAGACTGCCTGCAACCCTAATGGGGAAACATTAAGAAGAGTGGACTATGTACCCCCAGGGTTATCATAAGCACACAGCAAGTGCTCGATGAGTATTTGTTGAATGAAGAAAAATCCCAAAATATTAAACATAGCAGACACTTACTGAACAAGTATGCTCTTTTTTTTTTTTTTAAAGATTTTATTTATTTATTTGAGAGAGAGAATGAGATAGAGAGCACATGAGACGGGGGAGGGTCAGAGGGAGAAGCAGACTCCCTGCTGAGCAGGGAGCCCGATGTGGGACTCGATCCCGGGACTCCAGGATCATGACCTGAGCCGAAGGCAGTCGCTTAACCAACTGAGCCACCCAGGCGCCCCGAACAAGTATGCTCTTAATGTATGCATGTATGTGTGTGTATACACACATGCACACACATATATAAATATATATATTTGCCTTTGATCCTCATGGTTACTCTTCAATAGATGAGAAGCGTGGGAAGGGGTTTAGTTAGCTGTCCAAAGTCACGTAGAAATGACGGCGAAGAGAGGCTTTGAGCTCAGGTCTGCCCCACTCTTGAGCCCAAGCTTTTAAACTTACACTCCAGTTGGAAAAACTTCATATTCTGGTTATTTTCTCAACTCCCGCTGGCTCCCCCAGGCCTGGGGAAATGGGGTATGGTTGGGGTGCCAAGAGGCAACAGGGAGCCCAGCTGGGGATGTTGTGGCCCAGGTGAGGCATATACACATGTGGGATGAACACAGCGGGCAGCTATGGACGCGTGTCCCATGTGACTGACTTGGAGCAGGTGATCTGTGGGTTGTGGGTGGAGTGGGGGCAGGTGGGAGGCAGCAGAGAACCCCTCCATCTTGCTCTAACCCCCCTGTTCAAGTCCAGGGTCCAGCTCTATCCCGAACACCCTTCCCTGCCCGCATCCTCACCATGCTTAGTGCAAGGAGGGAGCCCCCATCTGCCACTACTAACAAAGTGACACTCACTCCCTCATTTCCCTTTTAGCGAACTCCCGGGGTCATCCGGGGGCTGAGGCAGCTGACAAGCTCCCACTGCCTCTGTGAGCAGGAGATGGGTGCAGACATCCCCCAAGAAAGAGGTGTCACTTCCTGGATCCCCTCAAGGCGGGGTGGTTAGTAAGTGAGCCTCCCCCTTTTGCAGCTTGCATTATGTAACTCCACCAGCCCCTCTGTGTGGGTGAGGGAATAATGAATACCCAGGCCCAGCCCGGCCTGCCTTCTCCATCTGGCGTCACTGTGTATGAGTGTTTCTCTCTGCGTATTCATGCATTGCCCTCATGCTGTGTCATTTCTCTGATGTGTGTGTGAGCGTGTGTGGCCCGTGTGTCGGCCAGCTGAGTGTCTTTCAGCATCTTGCTGCTGGGGTTCCAGTCTGCGGAGAAAACCATCCAGAACCCCTGTGTCTATCCTCACTGGGGAGGATTGGTCCTCCCCCGACCCCTTTGCTTCCTTAACACTCCCCAAGCCCCATTTCTTCTGGGTACCGAACCCAGGATATTCTGTTGTTTAGCTGGAGGCAGAGATACCTGGGACCTCTAGATCTCTCTTGAGTGTCCAAGTCTGGCAGTGGACTCCATTCTTTAATTAAAGAATGGACTTGCAGGTGAGCTTTTGGGAAGGCAAGGCTTCCAAGGGCTTTCCTTCCACTTCTGGCTTGGGCCAGACCCTAAAAAGGACAGAGCCTGGGCTTGGCTGAAGAAAAAAGAAAAAGAATAAAGTGATCCACAAGCCTTCCTAGCCATGCTCAGCTTTTCCTCTTTCTCAGTTGGTTTTCAAATCAGGAAGGGCTGTTGGCTGGTGCTTGGGAAATTGGGGTCTGTTTCTCACACTTTGGCCTTAGGCAACTTGATCTTTGGAAGGAACTGGAAGGAGGCTGGGCTTGGGAGAAGCAGGGATATTCAGTGTCTGCTGAGAGAAAGAGAGAAAGAGAGAGAGAGAGGGAGAGAGAGAGAAAGAGAGATACAAGCCCTGTGCCTCAGCCAACGGATTCTGAGCACTCACCAGGGTCCACCTTGATCCTAATAACAATCCCACAACACTCTGTCTCCCTCCTTTTCCTCTGCAGAGCACATCCTCATCTGCTGCCATATTTTTATCCTCACTCTCACCAAGGTCAGGTTTGAATATCCCCATTTTACAGACGAATAAGTTAAGCTGCTATAGGGAGACCCATTTGTCCCAGCTTGTGAATGTCCAGTGTCCAGGAGGCTCCTGGGTCAATGGGGGTGGCTGGTGACCCTTCTGCCCCAGGGAAGATTTTTAAGGCCCCTTCTGGCTCTGTCTGTGTGCTTCCAGGTGAGTTCTTTATTTTCCTGGAACTTCCATTTCCTTATCTGTAAAACGGGGTTGTTAAGCAGTGACCACTTCCCTGGGTAACCAGAAGGATTAATTAAAATGGTGAACGCACGGTACTCAGCAACCTCACACAGCAAATGCCCAGAAGAAAGAGCTTCCTGTTATTGTTCTATAATATGTAATGATTTGGGCTTCCTGGCTTTTAATTTTAATTTTCTGCACCACCCTAGTTTTGCCAAAGGTAGTTGATGTGCCATCTCGAGGGGGCCCTTTGCTGGAAATCTGGCGGAATCTGGCACTGGTCGTGGCACGGGGCTCTGAACATAGGGAGCCGGGTGCTGGGCGGCACGTCCTGCCAAGCCAGCCTCCGCCCTTTGGAGCTGTGATTTTAAACAAATCACATACGTGCACGCCAGTGTGCATACCATGGAAACAATGCCTGGACCCGGGCCTCATTCGAGTAGTTCAGTGGTTTTGGGTGTATTTATCTCATTTACCTTGCTGCGAGGAAATGAGCGGCTGACTTTCGGGACAGCTGCTAGCGACAAGGAGGGAGCCAAAAGAGGCCAGCGTCTGCTACCATCTCACCCTGCGACCTTGGGCAAGCCACTCCCCATTCTGGGCTGCAACCAGGGCGGTGGGGACGGCAGCCCGTCTCTAGCAATAGAGAGTTTCCTGTGTGCTAAGCATGGCGCTGAGCCCTCTGCATGGGTGCCTTATTTGATCCTGGAAGAGACTGTATGGAGAAACTCCTAGCCCCACATTACCCATGGATGAGGTGAGTGGGGTTCAGAGAAGTGAACCCGGGGAGCAACCTTGGGGTCTAGTGAGCGGATTCTGAGCGCTCACTGGGGCCAATCCCAATCCTAATACCAACCCCACAACATGCCTCATTTCTCTTCCTCCCCAAAGCACATCCTCACCGGCTGCCATATTTTTCATCCTCACTCTGATCAGGGAGACAGTGGATTGTCCGCATTTTACAGATGGTGAGATTAAGCTGCTATATAAGACCTACTTGGCTTGGCTTGTCCATGACCTTCCATTTTTAGCACTGAAAGTCAGAGGACATTAGGATGAAGGGGAGCTCTTGAGATCATCCAACCCAACTTCTATTCAAAAATGAGGAAACAGAGGCCTGGAGGAGCCAGGGGTTCGTTCAACGTGGATCAGCGACAGATGCGGGTGTCTAGGACTGTGCTTTCCAGTGGAGCAGCGGCTAGCCAAGTGCGGCCATTGAAACCCCTGAACTGGGGCTGGTTCCGCTGAGATCCGCGGTAAGAGCAAAACACACATTGGGTTTCAAAGGCTAGTTTGAAAAAAAAAAAAAGAACATAAAATAGCTCAATAATTTTTCAATATTGGTTACATGTTGAACTGATAATGTTTTGGATATAGTGGGTTAAACAAAATTGTCATGAAAGTTAATGTCACCTGTGGCTTTTTTACTCTTTTTTTAACAAGTGACTACTGTACAGTTAAAAATCACACATGTGGCCCTCATTGTATTGCCATTGCGCAGTGTAGGTCTAGAGTCTGACCTCCTCTCTGTCTCCCACTGTCCCTAGGCCCCCTTGAGAATCTACTGGTAACTTCACCAGGCAGAAGATAATTCTTCTTTCTTAAGAAACCAGAAAAATTACCCAGAGGGTTAGCAAAGATCTTGCCACTTTTGAGGTTGACCTCTGAGAACGGGTGTGATGGGGATCGGGGGGGGGCGGGG